AAAGCAATTGGACTTGCGGTTTTCAACAAGAGGTCGAAAATATCACTTTTTACCAAAAATTACAAAAATATTCACCAAAATTAGAGAATTGAAGATATCATTACAAAATGAACAAATCTGAGAGAGGTCGACATGTAGTACCTGTATATGTAAATATCAAAGCAATTGGACTTGCGGTTTTCAACAAGAAGTCGAAAATATCACTTTTTACCAAAAATGACAAAAATATTCACCAAAATTAGAGAATTAAAGATATCATTACAAAATGAACAAATCTGAGAGAGGTCCACATGTAGTACCTATATATGTAATATCAAAGCAATTGCACTTGCGGTTTTCAACAAGAAGTCGAAAATATAACTTTTTACTAAAAATGACAAAAATATTCACCAAAATTAGAGAATTGAAGATATCATCATGAAATGAACAAATCTGAGAGAGGTCTACCCAAGGTACATATACACCAAGTATCAAAGCATTCAGGCTTGTAGTTTTCAAGAAGAAGTCGAAAAAGTAAAACATTGACACGGACGACGACGACGACGGACGACGACGACGACGGACAATCACTCATATGATAAGCTCCGCTCGACAAAGTCGACAGCGGAGCTAATAAAGAAGTGATTAACAGAGTACTGCCCTCTATGGCTAAAATTGGCAACAAAGTACCAGGTACATAATTATTTGATAACAGTATTTTTGTGATGTAAGCAACACATTATAATGCTGCCTAATTGATAAAATACAGGATTTTTGTTACATCTGCAAATTCACAATTTTTGTAAGTACTGAAATTGTGTAGTGTTTGCTGAAACCAGTCTCTCAACATCAGAACTGTGTTGAATCCGACACCATTGCAATGCTCCAGGCACGAGAAAACAGTGGCGATACAAAAATTATGATTTTTAACCATCCACGAAATGTTCAGTTAACATATGTACACTTATTTTGAATTGCCTATGGATCGCGGTAACTGTCAATTTTTGTAAATATTTATATATTTGTATACCATGCATGGAGTTGTGATGTGATTGGTCTAACTGTATTCAACTTTCCATTTTGAGTTTCTAATTATTAATTTATTTAGGCCAGACTTTTTTTATTCCTTGTTTCTCAAGTTTTCATAAAGCAAATTTTTTGAGGGCGTAAACAAAATAAAATATTTTTTTTTTTCTATTAGATTTGTGTGATTCTCAAAGAATTGTAAGCGAGATCAGAGAGAAGAAATGAAATTTTATTCCATATATAATCTTGTTTCTCATCTGCGCGAGACTTCGGTACTTTGATCATGATACTCCCACGAAAATGCAACTTGGATTTGTTATGCGGCGGGAGAAAAAAAATTAAGATGAAAATAATTTTTTTTAGTAATTTTTTGTACTTACAATACGGCGGCCGCGAGAAATTACGCTGAAATAAAATTTTATTTTTATTTCATATTCGGCTCCTGTATATTCGGAGGGTTCGCGAAACAAGGGATAATAAAAGTCTGGCCTTAATAATTTTTAAATAAACCGTGACCACATCCATGGGTAACCTGGAATAAGTGAAAAAATACCTGAATTGTGATTGATAAAACAATGTTAATAAATAAAACTAGACTATATACATCATTCAGCAAAATGAAATAAAAATTTTCCTGTAAAAAGGATATTTCTCGCCAAATTCATTCTGTGGTTTGTTCTCGGTGCCAGTTGTTTATTGTGGAATAACTATGGCAAGTCATTTTACAGTCCAGTCGGGTGCACGAAGAATGAAACATCCCCACCATTATTAGTTTTGAGAACAAATAAATATGAAGTGCTAAAGTGATAAAAACAATATTGCAATATGACAGTTTGTTGCCTCCTCACAGGCTTCAAACCATGGTCATCTTCCAGAGGTGGATAAGAAAATACTTGAATACGGTAGATGCATTAATGTGATAAAAACAATATTGCAATATGACAGTTTGTTGCCTCCTCACAGGCTTCAGACCATGGTCATCTTCCAGAGGTGGATAAGAAAATACTTGAATACGGTAGATGCATTAATGTGATAAAAACAATATTGCAATATGACAGTTTGTTGCCTCCTCACAGGCTTCAGACCATGGTCATCTTCCAGAGGTGGATAAGAAAATACTTGAATACGGTAGATGCATTAATGTGATAAAAACAATATTGCAATATGACAGTTTGTTGCATCCTCACAGGCTTCAGACCATACTGTAAATGCATTAATTATTCACTGGTTTTTAAATTTGATATTTTCGCAGATAAGTAAAATCCGCTAAATCAAATCTACCGGTATGTGTAAAGTTTGTGTACTTAAAATTTAGTTAAATCTCTAAAAACATAGAAATAGTGAAATTAAATACCAGTGAAAATAAATGGTTTTACAGTAAGTTGAAAGACTACATTTATGGCAGTGTTTGTAATACATGCTTGTTATTTTAAATATTATTAAAGTTGCAATCTCGATTAGTATTATATGCAGTACGCTCTTTCACCAAGAGAAATGATAAAATCAAACGGTATGGCAAGAAATTATTAAATATAGAAGTATTGCATGAAACTAACATGTACTTGACAGAAATAGTCGTGTTGTCTATAATCAATATATCAAACATTATTTTCTATACCTTTCATTTTTGTAATCACTTTAGACCTTGTTTTGCATTACTTTTAAAAGATGCTTCTCAATTTGACTTCTGGATTCTGTTTGTAGGGTACATGATTCTTGAAGCAGGTTCAAAAATTACTACTTTACTCTGTAATGTACAACAGCAACTGAATATAGAACCAATAGAGATTCAAAGCAAGGTTCTATGAACAAAGTTTAATCGAAAAGCACAAACACATAGCTATATTTATTTTCATTGACATACGTTAGAACAATTTGAGAAAATCTCAACACATGACTATTCCTGATAATATTAGATGACATTGCTCATGGACTGCACAAAACCTAAACCTATTATGATGTTTAAAGGGTTCATTGAGAGGTTTTCTGCAAATCATACAACATAGGAAGGCAACTTTAATTAGCAGCCATGTTGGAATCCCACCAAAAAATCTCCCCCATGGGAATAACATGATTTCATATTTACAGAGTTGACAGACAAATATCATATTTAAAGCAGAAAGATAACAAAACAGAAATAATTACGGTAATTACTGTATACCAAAGTTCTAATAGAGCAAATATGATATAAATTATACTATTATTATCATATTATTATTCTTATTATTACATTTCAAATCACATGATTGGCACTCAATACTAGCACCATAAAGAATGAAGTATAATTAGTAGCACAGATACTGTACACATTATAATGAAACATGTTGGGCTGATAAAGGCATACACAAAATGCATAAATCTCAGTTTGTGTCTTTGTTAAAGTTGTGTCAAGTGCGTTACAAGAGACAAATTTTGCGAGTTGGAAAATCAAGAAATATTGAGAAGATTTTACTGGGCTCAAGGATGTAGTAAAGTTTTAAGGTAATTTAATAGGTGAGATAAAATTAACATATAAACATACAGATTTGGTTAATAATTACCATAATATGTAAACACACACAAATTTAAACATTCAGGTGAATAGATTAGCTTCAACTTGGCATATTAAATGTCCATGTACTGCATCATTAAGACAGGCAGTCAGTTACTTTTGTGAAAATACATCAACGCAAATGTTGTTAATAAATTTAACAGTTTACAGTAAGCCAATTCACCATTGTGATTCGCTGTTATTTAAAATTGTACATCAGATTATTTACGACAGAGGTATATCACATTGGATTTACAAAGAAGTCCTGTCACTTTTAATATGTATCTGATAAGTATGTTTGAGGTTTGAAGAGAATTAGTCTAGGGGTGTTTGAGATACAGCTCTGGATGCATCCACACACACATACACTTCTTACTGTCGTTGTGACGACACACATTGGATTAACTTTTAATATAGTTGCGATATGAACTCAATTAAAACAAAGTGTATCCGGACCACTGGCTCCACTTCTACTTCCATACAAACACACACGCAGATGCACAAAGACTAAACCATAATGAACAACAACACATTGAAACAGAAATGTTGCTTTGAGTGATATTGATTTCACTCGTTACATCATTTCTATGTCACAAGATTGCTTCATCGTTTTTTCAGGTATGAAATCAAAAGTTCAACTGTACATGTGTACACCACTACAGATATCTAGACATTATTCCGTTGTATGAACTTTACAGAAAAACATAGAAGGACCTTGATACGATGTCCCCTTGCAAAGATATGTTTCAAACCCAATGTCATATACCTCTGGTAATATTGAACATCCTAAACTGTGATACAAAGTATGGAATATTCAAAGTGGTGTGCTTAACTGGACTTCAAATGACGCACAAGAGCACTAATGGCTTTGCGGGCCGTATCCTCAGACCAGTACACCAATACACCACCACTGTTGGACCACTTCTGTCCCGGTGTCCACTCAAGAACATCAGGCTTGTGATACAAAATATCAGAATTACTCAGAGGATCATTAGCGCTAAGTTTCATTGCCTTTTTCAAATCCAACATGCCTCCCCCCATTGACCGAATAACGGCATGTGGAGCACAGCAATCCCATTTAAAAGTTGTATTTCTATTTAGTATATACAGATCAGCAAACTTATCAGTAACACACAGAGCTTTGTAGCCAGCACCACTACCGTACTGAATGGTACCATTGGGTAGAGACACTACAGCTGATTTCACTGGTTGTTTTTCACTTGGACTTAATACTGTAAGTAGGTTCAGCCGTTTGTTATGTTTAGCATGGGTATCGGGATAGGAATTCCGTTGAACACCATTGTAGGCAACGCCCCAGACGTAACGTCCTCGCCATCTGAAAAATGCAAAATTTTACATCTTAAATGGAAAAAAAATCCACTTTTTGAAATTTTTTTAGTGTTCAGAAATGATACACATTTGCCAATGATTTATTTCTCATGATGAATTAGTTCAATATCATTTTTTCTGACAAAACTATGGTGAAACATGTGACTCATACTATATAAAAGTCCAACCTGACCTAAATGCAAATCACACCAATACGCACAGTCCCTCTATCCCCGGTCTGGAAACGGCTATTGTCCAAGATGTGAATTACCCCAGTGTTCGAACAGCTCGGGGTATGGCTTTTCACGTAGCATAGTCTCTTGACAGCAGAGCATTTTATTGAAATGATCGATTCATTGTTCCCTGCATATTCTGTGTTTTTACAACCGAAAAATCCATCGATTTTGATACTTTATATATATTCTGAAGCTAAACACAATTCTTTAGCTGGCAAGTTTTTCTATAGTGGCATATTGACTTATTATTTGTGAATATTGTACATAAATTTTTGAGGTACTCCATCAGGGATCGCAACTGGAAACACTTCTAACAACCTTTATCGGCCAGCCCCTTTTATTCGTCATGTATTTTAGAAAGATAAACATTTTTTTCATTTATTGGATAGCTTAAACCTATATGTAGTTGTATGTACATATCATATTTATTTAGGTATTCACCTTTTCTGGGTTTTTTTCGCGAGATGGCCTCTCGCCGATTCATTGCCATTCGAATTTTCGTGTCATTATTTTTATTTTCAAGCATATATTTAAAATGTAGTTTACAATTCTGGTGACATCATGTCTCTAAGAATAATATCCTGCAGTATCAATTCTTTAGCACTGCCAGGAATTGAGTAGGGTGACTTTTTATTGCCCTGATTAGAATTAATTCACGGGCGCCATTTTGTTTTTGTTTTACTAAACTTACTTGACGTGTTGCCAGTGTTTTATAGTAGGAAAACAGCTTTCAACCATAATATTTGTTTTTCATAAGAGTAGATATGTACATTTACTTTTTGGTGATGTGGTTTTTCTCTCAGATGTTTGTATTTTGATAAATCATGGTAATATGTTCTGTTCTGTTTGCAGTTTGAGATTGCAGTGCTTAAGTTAGTGTACACTCAGCTTCCTGGCTACTTGTTCAAGGTGTGAATGGTTTATTTACCCACAACCAGCTCTGGGACAACAGACTGCCAAACGTTTCCAGACCGGGATAGAGGGACTGTGTCATAAGCAAATTAAAGCATGTCCCATATGCAAATCACAGCCTCAATCACACGCAGAATGCAAATCCCACATATATGCAAATCACAGCCTCAATCTCACCCATATGCAAATCACAGTCTCTATCATTCTCCCAGGCATAGTTCTATTACGAATATATCTCTGCCACCACGCAATCTTATGCTTATCGTTGATTGGTCGATGCGTCACAGTGGTACTACTTTCAAAGACGCTCACCAAAACATTGCCATGCAAGTGTTCGATTTTCAAACCTGACGAATGTGTACATGTTGTTTGCATACACTGGCCGTTTTCAAAGTTAGAAGCTTTTTTTTTTTTTTCTGTAGCACAAACGATGTGACAGTAGAACGATTTAGCCATCAATAGCCCTAAGTGCAATCATTTCTTTATATTTCTTTGTCTGGCAATCGACAGGACGGTCAGTTTGATGAATCGAGTAACACCTTGGTAACCGTTGTTCCGTGATGAAATTATTTTCTTTTGTAAATTATAACTTTTCACCCTTGACAGTGCAATTACGAAAAAATCGTTATCAGCAAATCACAGTCTCAATCTCACCCATATGCAAATCACGGCTTTGATCACATCAATATGCAAATAACTGCCTCAATCACACCCATAATGGAAATCTCACATATACGCAAATCGCAGCCTCAATCTTACCCATATAAATATCATAGCTTTGATCACATCTATATGCACATACATGTAACTGCCTCAATCTCAGCCATATGCAAATCAGTCTCAATCTCACCCATATGCAAATCACAGCCTCAATCTCACCCATATGCAAATCACAGCCTCAATCTCACCCATATAAATATCATAGCTTTGATCACATCAATATGCAAATAACTGCCTCAATCTCAGCCATATGCAACTCACAGCCTCAATCTCACCCATAATGCAAATCACAGCCTCAATCTCACCCATAATGCAAATCACAGCCCCAATCTCACCCATAATGCAAATTTCACATATATTCAAATCAAACCTGTATGCTAACCGCACCCATATGCAAATCACATCCTAATATGTATAAAGAAAGTTGAAAACTTACTTTAAAGTGGTGGAATCATAAAACTGGAATGGTTGGTTGATAACACCAATAACTGGTAACCCTGTAGTCATATCATACACACCAATAAGTACAGTGACACACTGTAAACCTTCTGCATATATACCATTGACATCTACAGCATCAGATACACCTTTAATATATTCTGCAGTGGAATCTGAAATATATAATCAAAGAAAGCTTAGAAAGAACTCCTGTGTGCTGAGAGTATTGGAGACACATTAAAAATTAATTCAAAATTACTTGAACTTGATATATTGATGGAAACGCAGAAAACTAATTATGCAAATAAGGTAACTAATATGAACAGATTTAAGTGTAAAACTAATGAGGTCTGCACAATGTACCAAGTTTCATTGAAACGTGATTAGAACCAAAAAATTATTAATTATTATGCTAATTAGAGAATTAATATAAACAGATTTTAACCCAAAATTAATCAGGCTGTCAGATGTCCTAGAGCATTTATGTA